CGTCTCCTTACAATGTCTGATGTGAGCACCTCATCCGCTTCCTTATCAAAAGACTTGGTTGTAAGGGGTGGTGCTCTCCGTGATTGCCCTCGGCTTGGGTCTTCCACATCCTTCTTGTAAGGCTTTAACATGCTCACGTGGAAGACTGGATGAATCTTAAGTGTTGGTGGGAGGTCGACCCGGTAAGCAACATTTCCTATCTTCTTGATCACCGGGAACGGTCCCTCATACCTTCGTATTAGTCCTTTGTGCAAGCTTCGAAAGGTCTTGATATGTTGAGGCAATAGCTTCACAAAGACTAGGTTGCCTTGGGAGAACTCTCGCGGATGCCTCTTTGTATCGGCCCATTTCTTCATTCTTTTACGGGCCCTCTCCAAGTATGAGCGTGCTAAGTCTGTCTGTTCCTCCCAAGATTTGATCATCTTTTCTGCCCCGAGACTCTTCCCATCCTTTGTAGGTAGGGCAATTGTGGGAGGAGTCAATGGTTGTCGTCCCGTGACCACCTCAAATGGGCTTCGCCCAGTTGATTCACTCCTCTGCAAGTTATAGGAAAATTGGGCCACATCAAGCAGCTTGGCCCAGTCCCTCTGGTTAGCGCTTACAAAGTGCCGTAGATAGCACTCTAGTAACGCGTTTACCCTCTCCATTTGCCCGTCGGTCTGGGGGTGGAAGCTTGTTGAGAAGTTAAGCTCGGTACCTAGGAGCTTGAAAAGTTTCGTCCAAAGTCTCCCCGTAAAACGTGGATCCCTATCACTCACAATGCTCCTTGGTAGTCCCCAATGCTTGACCACATTCTTGAAAAATCCACGGGCGGCCTCCTCGGCAGTACAGTCCTTAGTGCATGGGATAAAGGTCCCATACTTTGAGAATCGATCCACCACGACCATAATTGACCCGTATCCCTCGGACTGTGGTAGGGCGCTAATGAAATCTAGCGTGATCGACTCCCATGGTCCTGCGGGTATCGGTAATGGCTCGAGTAGTCCCGCTGGATGCTTGTTTTCGACCTTGTCTTGTTGGCACACGAGACAGGTCCTCACATATGCTTCCACATCGTCCTTCAGTTGAGGCCAGAAGTAGTTGGACTCGAGTAAGGCTATCGTCCTTCGTTGCCTTGGGTGGCCTGCCCACTTGGTATCATGGCACTCCTTCATGAGATCTCGTCGTAGTCCGTCCCACTTTGGCACAACTAGACGTCGCCCTTTTGTGTAGAGTAGACCGTCCTCTACCCAAAATCGTTGGGTCTTGCCTTCCTTTGCGAGCCCCATGAGCGCCTTCGTGACGGGGTCCCGTTCGAGCCCTTCTCGAATACGGGTAAGGACATCCCCGTCGGCTTTGCTGATGGCGGCAAGTTCAGCCTTGCGGCTTAAAGCATCGGCCACCACATTGGCCTTCCCCGGTTTGTATTCCAACGAGTAGTCAAACTCGGCCAAAAAGTCTTGCCATCGGGCTTGCTTTGGGGAGAGTTTCTTCTGGGTCTGGAAGTAGCTAGTGGCTACGTTGTCTGTCTTTATGTTGAAGTGTGCCCCTAGCAAGTAGTGACGCCACACCCTCAAGCAATGGATGATGGTCGTCATCTCCTTTTCTTGCACCATGTAGCGTCGTTCGGTGTCATTCAACTTTCGACTTTCGAATGCTATCGGGTGCCTCTCTTGCATCAATACTCCTCCAATAGCAAAGTCAGAGGCGTCAGTGTGAACCTCAAATGGCTTAGTGAAATCAGGTAATGCTAAGACAGGCTCCTGACTCACGGTGGTCTTGAGATCCTCAAATGCTCTTTGACATTCGTTGGTCCATTCCCACGACTTCCCCTTTTTGAGTAGGTCGGTAAGCGGTGCGGCCCTCGCCGAGTACCCTTGTATGAACCGTCGGTAATAGTTGACCAGCCCCAAGAAGGATCGTAACTCGGTAACTTTGGTGGGAGCTTCCCATTCCATGATCTCCTTCACCTTCGCCCCGTCCATCCGGATCCTTCCATGGCCTATGACATGTCCCAAGAAGTTCACTTCTTCACTTGGACTCCTTAACATAAAGTTCATTCTCCCAGAGTACCTTGAATACAATGCGTAAGTGGTCAGCGTGCTCCTCGAGCGAGTTGCTATATATAACGATGTCATCCAAGTAGACCACCACAAACCGATCTAAGTACGGATGAAATATCTCGTTCATGAGTGTACAGAAAGTAGCTGGGGCATTCGTGAGCCCGAAGGGCATCACTAACCATTCATAAGACTCATACCGCATAATGCACGTGGTCTTGGGTTCGTCTCCCTCGGCGATGCGAACTTGGTAGTAACCCTTCTGTAAATCCATCTTGGTGTACACTCGGGCTCCCCCAAGTCGATCAAATAAGTCGGCAATCAAAGGGATGGGGTAGCGATTCTTGATAGTTACCTTGTTGAGTGCCCGATAATCTACGCACATGCGTAGTGTTCCATCATGCTTCTTTTGAAAGAGTACGGGTGCGCCATAGGGGGCCTTGCTCGGGCGGATTTTCCCGGTCTCTGTGAGCTCCTTGAGCTGCCTCCTCAATTCCTCGAGCTCAGGGGGAGACATTCGGTAGGGGGACATGGCTGGTGGCTTGGTGCCTGGCTCCAACTCGATCTTGTGATCCACACCTCGCCTTGGTGGAAGCTTGCTTGGCTACTCGGCAGGCATGACATCCTTGTTCTCCTCAAGAACTCCTTGGATAAGGGAGGGCACCTTCGGGGATTCCTCCTCATGGTTGTCCTCCTTTAGTACTGCCAAATAGGTTGGCTCTCCTCGCTTTGCCCCCTTGGCAAGCTGCATCGCGGAGAGTTGCTTGCTAGCACTCTTGTTGTCCCCTTCTATAGTTGGAACCATACATGGAGAACCCTTCTCCAATATATAAACAGTACTAAAGGATGACATGGGTATAGCTGTTACCTGTCGTAAGAAGTCCATGCCGAGTACCACCTTGAAGTCGTCCATGGGTGCTATTGAGAAATTCACGCGTCCTTGCCATGTCCCTAAGCGCAGACTCACATTGCTAGCAATCCCGTCGAGTCGACGAGCATTGGCATTGACAGTCTTTAGCCACCCAGTTTTCTCGGACCAAGATAGTCCTAACCTTGCGGCTTCCTCCTTGGTAATGAAGTTGTGACTGACTCCTATATCCACCAGAGCCTTTGTCGGAGTCCCGTTAATTTGCGCTTCCACGTACATGAGCCCCTTGCTAGACGTGATGCGCTCGGGCTTGGTATTGAGGGCATTGAGGACTTGCAACGAACCTATCATTGTTGGCTCTGCCTCCTTAGTCTCAGTCTCGGACTGCTCCATGATGGCTGAGAGGGACCCTAGCTTTGGGCAATCCTTCATGGCATGTGGCCCCTTGCACACGAAGCAGCCTCCCTTAGGGACAAACACCTGTTTCTTCTCCTCATAGCTGCGGCGTCCGAAGTTTCGATCCTCCTTGGCCGGCGCTCGTCGTTGGTCTCTGAAGTCTCGGTTCTTGTTGTCCCTTTTGTCTCCCCCACCTTTGGCGGAGTACTTCTTGTCCTTCTTGGTGGCATCGGAAGATGATGATGGGCGGAACTCAATTAGTGACTCGGCTGCGGCAATCGCATCATCAACGGACTTGACGCCCCGGCGTTGTAACTCTTGTTTCGCCCAATGTTGGAGTCCGTCCACGAAGAAGAAGAGCGAGTCGTCCTCTGTCATGTTGGGGATCTGGAGCAAAAGGGTGGTGAATTCTTTGACATAGTCACGGATGGTCCCCTTCTGCTTCAGCTCCCGCAATTTTCGTCGAGCCTCGTACACCACGTTCTCCGGATAAAATTGTCGCTTGAGTTCTTTGACAAAGTCCTCCCATGTGTCTATCCGGCACGTGCCTCGCTCGATATCGCCGTGCTTCCTGCGCCACCATAACATAGCAGTATCGGAAAGATAAAGGGAAGCAGTCTTTACCTTGGTAGCCTCGTCCGTGAGATTTATGCCCTCAAAATATTGTTGCATCCTCCATAAGAAGTTGTCCACTTCTTTGGCGTCCCTTATGCCATTGTAGCCTATCGGCCTTGGACACTCCACCCTTGGTGCGGACGTGGAGTTGCTAGCCTCCCCACTAGCAATAGTCTTCTTACAAACAGTGAGATCCTCACGCATCCCCTCGATGCTTGCTTGGAGATCCTTCACAAGGTTCTCCAGGTGATCCAAGCGGTCCTCCGTGGAGCTTTGTGCATCGAGCCCCTCTTGGACAACACCTTTGACTGACTCGATTTCCTCCAAGACGTGTGTCTCCAACGTTTTGAAGGTGAACTCGACCCTTTCGAGTTTCTCGGACATTTCCCCAATGACTTGGTCTAACGGCGAGACCTCCGCACGAGCTCGGCTTTGGTCCCGACGTTTCTTGTCCTTGGTCCCGGTGGTGTGTTCCCGCCCTCGGGTTTGCTCTTCGCTTACACCTGACCCGGACGCATTATGTTCCTTCTCACCTGCCATACTTACACGGTACCGAGCGTTGCTCTGATACCACTTGTCATGCCCTTGTTTCTCAAACTTGATTGCGTGCGGCCTTAGCCTCTTGTGCGCCCTTCGCAACTAGCTAAGTCAGCCTCACCTTGTTCAAGATCGTGCTCGGTGTGTGCAAGTGCTTTGGCTAGAGAAAGTGGGAAAGGATATTTAAGAGAACTTGAAGGAAAAATGCTTGTATTGCTTGAGTACAAGAAAGCTCTCAAATGCTTGGATGGATTGCAAATGAGGGGGCCTCCTCTATTTATAGGCACCACCTCCTCTAAGGAACTCTCTAGATCCTACAAGGGTCTTGGTCTTTCTAGACCCTTCTACAAAAGTCTCCATCTATCTTCACATGTCCTAGAACCTTCTACACAACTCAAGATGATTCTTGCCCTTTCTACAAGTCTCTACAAGGTTCTAGGATGTTCTTGTCCCTACTACAAATATCTACATAATTCTGGAGCCTTCTAGAAGCTTTCAGTCAAGTCTAGGCCTTTCTAAAGGCTTCCATATACCAATAACTAGGTTTAGTGCGAAAAAAAGGCGGGCAAGACTCGTTCTTGCTTGCGTGCATGCGGGGAGTGATGCGGGGTGTTACACACGGCTTGTTTGGTTTGATGTGTAAGCATCACATCCTCCAAATTTATTCCACTGCATCGATGTTTTGGACTACAATTCATTTTAACTGCAACTTCTTTTGTTGAACTTCCATGAATATGTTGGTACATCACATTGCTAATTTCAACCCCAGAAACCTGCGTGTTAATTTCTCACCAAATAAGATAATTCAGTTATGTTGACTAGATTTTACGTTTTATACAAGTTTTTTGCTTTAGTTACAAGAAGGAATTTTCATTGAGAAACTCACCTGATTTGCACAATTCTTTTCATGGGGGCAATAATTTTGGTCGATCACAATGGGATTTTGAACAAGCATGGTAACATGTTGGAAAAGGATGTTCCTTGCAAACCCATTGCTAGGTTTCCCCCATGACTTTATTCTTACACCATTCTCAGTTCCAGCAAATGTCACTGTGTTTACTGTCACATTTTCCACACCAGCCTCTTCTAATTCCTTCCCTAAACTTCCAACACTTAACAAATGAAACCAAAAACAGTTAGTAACATGTTCTTCTCTAAGACATTTTTATAGCAGATTTATGATAATAGTACCTTATTCCATGACCAGGTCCGCAAGCTATGTTTTGTATCCATAAATTAGTAGTTCCAGGACCAATTGAGATGATCCGTCGGTAATATTTTTATTATTTATTAATTTTCCCTATTACATTTTTATAGGTTTCAATTATTATTGGATTAAAAGAATTGTCATTGGCGAGAGTCAAACCCAGTACCTTAGAATTAGAGACTCGATACTCCAACCACTAAGCTACCAAATTTTTTTTATAATAATTTACAAATAAATTATATTTATATATTTATGATAAACATAGAATATACGATTACAAATACCGTATCATGCCATGATTCTACATGATTAATTTTTTCCATATTTAGCTTGGCATGACAGCGATGCACAATGATGCACATTAATATTAGCGTAATTATAGCCTAGAATGTTTCTGTATTTCATGTATATATTGTACTATCATATTCAATACAAGACAGGGGTTTTTGGAAATATTTTTATCATGGTATCAGAGCGAACCAAACTCTGATATCCAACAGCCCGAGAACACAGTCGTACTTCTAAAATGGCAGAGAGAGGAGAGACGGTGAAGAAAACACCATCGTCATACGATCCGAGTGCCGGTGATAATCCTGGAAATGTGATTACACAGGTACAATTACGAGGAGAGAATTACGAGGAATGGGCAAGGGCCATGAAGATATCTCTGCGGGCTCGAAGGAAATGGGGTTTCATAGATGGAACTCATAAGGAACCTGAAGAAGACACATCTGAGATAGAAGATTGGTGGACAATTCAATCGATGCTTGTATCTTGGATACTAAACACTATAGAACCTAGTTTGCGTTCCACTGTTGCATACATGGAAAACGCAAAGGACCTATGGGATGACATCAAGGAACGATTCTCGATCGTGAACGGACCAAGAATCCAGCGAGCTAAAGTTAGAGTTGGCGGAATGCAAACAACAAGGAATGACTATGGTTTCCTATTATGGGAAGTTGAAAACGTTGTGGGATGAACCGGCAAATTACGAGCAAATCCCACGAGTGTAGATGTGGGGGATGCAAGTGTAATATTATGACGCAACTTGAGAAACGAAGAGAAGAAGAAAAAATTCATCGGTTCTTGATGGGGCTAGATGATGAGGGCTATGGAACTGCACGGTCAAATGTTTTGGCAACAGATCCATTACCCTCGTTGAATCGGGTGTATGGCACCATGGTGCAAGAAGAAAGGGTGAGAACAATCACCGAGTCTAAAGAAGAGCGAGGAATGATCGTGGGAATGGCTATGCGAGCGGAAACCGGGAACAAGTTGCGCAATGAAGCGAAAGAAAAATCGGTTGTTTGCATGCGGTGTGGAAGGAAGGGACATGACAAAGGCAATTGCTTCAAGATCATTGGTTACCCGAGAATGGTGGGGAGAGAGACCACGAACCGATAAAAACGATGAAAAAAATCAACAAAGAACGAGGAACCTTCCGAGGAAAAGGAGGAACGGCTCGCGTCAATATGGCGCACACCTGGTGCGGATAACGTTGGTTCAACCGAAAAACCGGAAGTCGCGGGATCGAGTAATGAGCAATGGCGAGATCTTGACAAGCAATGTTGAATTCTCGCAAGGCAAATGAAACCGAAAAGATGACCGGTAAGAAAGCATGTGACTTGTGGATTATTGACGGTGGCGCCTCTAATCATATGACAGGAACACTAGAAAACTTGAGGGAGAGTCGAGCCTTGGAAGGGTGCCCGGTGGGACTACCAAATGGTGAATTGGTGCTGGCAAACAAAGAAGGATCGGTTTTCCTTGATGGAGGACTCGAAACTTAAACATGTTCTATATGTTCGAAATTGAATTGCAATTTGATTTCGAGTATCACAATTGACGAATGAAGTAAAATGTACGGTACATTTCATCGATAGATTTTGTGCAATGCGGGACCACACTTCGAGGATGCTGATTGGTGCGGGTGAACGAAAAGAGGGACTCTATTGGTATCGTGGTGTGAGTGGCATAAAGGCGTATCGGACCAATGCGAGAAAATCAACTAGAGATTTGGCACAAGCGAATGGGACATCCTGCTACCAGATTGTTAGAAAAATTCCGCATCCGAACGAGCGTGAATAGAAATACGGATACAACTCGTGTGTGTGAAGTGTGTGAGAGATCAAAGCAATGCAGAAACACATTTCCTTTAAGTGATTTTCAAGCATCCAATATATTTGATTTAATACATTGTGATGTATGGGGTCCATATAGAACTCCCTCGTCTTGTGGTGCATCTTACTTTCTCACTTTGGTTGATGACTGTTCTCGAGCTGTGTGGATATATCTCTTGAATAATAAGAAAGATGTGTCACAAACCTTAATGCATTTCATCGCCTTAATAGAACGACAATACGAGAAACAAGTCAAAATATTACGAAGTGACAATGGAACTGAGTTTATGTGTCTTCAACGATATTTTCAGCAACATGGGATACTCCATCAAACCTCATGCACTTCGGAACACCTCAGCAAAATGGGAGAGCCGAACGAAAACATCGACACATCCTAAATGTAGCTCGTGCTCTACGATTTCGGGGAGAACTTCCACTTCAATTCAGGGAGAATGCATTTTGACCGCGGGATACTTGATCAATCGTACACCCTCAACCGTTCTCCATGGAAAAACTCCATATGAAATATTGAATGGGAAGCCACCCACTTATGACCATCTACGGGTATTTGGATGCTTGTGTTATGCACATAACCAAGATAGGAAAGGTGACAAATTTGCAAGTAGAAGTTGCAAGAATGTATTTGTTGGATATTCAATCGAAAAAAGGGCTGGAAATTGTTTGATCTGGAAAGAGAAGTCTTCGGACTTCGAGAGATGTTAAGTTTGTAGAACATGAATTCCCGTTTGCCTCTCTTGCCCACGAGTAGACATTCGAGAGGTAGGATTGCCTACTGTTGATGTTGGCATTGTCGAGGAAGCATTGCCTGGACTTGGTGCAATGAACAATGCGGAACACGTTGTGGAGACCGATGACGTTAACCCCACAACGGAAGATGTGCCCACAACCGAGTTCAGGGAGGGCCACGCCGAATGCCATGAACAAGAGCCTCCCACCCGAGATCGTTCTCCCACCGGAACAAACCGACTCTATGATGACGGAACTAGAGGTTCCTGAGGAGCATACTTGTCCCTGCATCCACGGGGAAAGGTCTTCGTGTACGAAAGCCATCTGTGAAGCTTCGTGATTATGTCACTAACACCACTTTACAACTCGGTCCCTCAATTCGCACTCCACATTCAGCTTCCTCAGGTATGCCTTACAGTTTGACAAAGTACTTAAATTGTGCTAAATTCTCCTTCCCCCACCGAACCTTTCTTGCAGCCCTTCATGCAGAGAGAGAACCTGTGCATTTCTTTGAAGCTGTTCGGGATGTTAGATGGAGAGATGCCATGGCTAGTGAAATTCGAGGCCCTCCAAAGTAATGAAACATGGGACATTACTCCTCTACCGCAGGGAAGAAGCCTCCGGGTTGCAAGTGGATTTATAAAATCAAATATCATTCGATGGGAGCGTTGAACGCTTCAAAGCCCGATTAGTTGTCTTGGGAAATCACCAAGTTGAGGGGATTGACTATGACGAGACTTTTGCCCGGTGGCAAAGATGGTCACCATTCGGACAGGTGTTGGCAGTGGCGGTTGCCAAAGGCTGGGAACTTCATCAAATGGATGTCCATAATGCTTTTACGCACGGCGATCTTGAGGAAGATGTGTACATGAAAATGCCGCCAGGGTTCTTGGTGTCTCAAAAGGGTATGGTGTGTCGTCTCCGCAAGTCCCTTTATGGTCTTCGTCAAGCTCCTCGGTGTTGGTTTGCCAAGCTCTCAACTGCTCTTGTTCAATATGGGTTTCAACGTTCTTCGTCTGATCACTCCTTGTTCATCTTTCGCAAAGGAGATGTCGAACTGGTTGTGTTAGTTTACGTGGATGACCTAGTCATTGCTGGCAATCATCATGAAGACATTGCGCAATTCAAAGATTATCTTCATCAATGTTTTCGTATGAAGGACTTAGGGAAATTAAAATACTTTCTTGGGGTGGAGGTTGCCAGATCTCCTACGAGAATTTTCTTGTGTCAACGGAAGTATGCGTTGGACATCATAGGTGAAGCAGGATTGCTTGGAGGGAAACCTGTGTCCACGCCAATCGAAGAAAATCATCGTTTAGCATTGGGCGATGGCGAACTACTTTACGACCCGAGTCAATATCGACGTCTCGTCGGTCGCCTTATTTACTTGTGTTTTACACGACCTGAATTATCTTACGGTGTTCATGTCCTATCTCAATTCATGCACCAACCGCGTCGGGAGCATTGGCGGGCTGCACTCCGCGTGGTACGCTATTTAAAGGGCGGCCCAGGTCGGGGTGTGCTTTTAAAAGAGAGAGTGACCTTCGTCTTTATGGTTGGTGTGACTCGGACTGGGCAAGTTGTCCTCTAACTCGAAGATCTCTCACCGGTTGGTTTATTTTCCTTGGTCAATCCCCCGTTTCCTGGAAAACCAAGAAGCAACATACGGTTTCTCGATCATCCGCTGAGGCAGAATATCGTTCTATGGCCAACACGACATGTGAGTTGAAATGGCTTCAAGGCCTTCTTTCGAGCCTAGGCATTACTCACACCGACCCTATGACTCTCTACTCGTGACAACCAAGTCGCCCTTCACATTGCCAAGAATCCTGTGTTTCATGAACGGACAAAACATATTGAAGTGGATTGTCATCTTATTCGTGATGAAATACAACACAATCATATCCAACCCTCATTTATATATTTATATATTTATATAATTATATATTTATATATTTATATATTTATATATTTATATATTTATATATTTATATATTTATATATTTATATATTTATATATTTATATATTTATATATTTATATATTTATATATTTATATATTTATATATTTATATATTTATATATTTATATATTTATATATTTATATATATATATTTATATTTTATATATTTATATATTTATATATATATATAATTAAATATTTTTATATATTTATATATAATTAAATATTTATTTTTTAAAATTATTTAATTTAAGAAATTATTATAAATTAATCTAATTATGATTAAATTAAATTATTAAATAAAAAATATTTAATTTTTTAACTAGTTGAATATTTACTTATTGTTAATTTATCGACGGATATATCCGTCGGTAATTTACAGATGGATTTACCGACGGATATATCCGTCGATAATTTACAGATGGATTTACCGACGGATATATCCGTCAGTAATTTACAGATGGATTTATCGACGGATATATCCATCGGTAATTTCATCTGTAAATTACCGACGGATTTATCGACGGATATATCCGTCGGTAACTAATTATTATTTTACTGACGAATATATCTGTCGTAAGATTAAATTCCACAAATATTTTATATCCGTCGGTAATAATTATTTTCCGACAGATACAAATCCGTCGGTAAATATCCGTCGGTAATACGCGATTTTATTGTAGTGAGTTCCTATGTTGAAGAAGAGAATGGTGACTGTTGGTGAGAGTTGAACGTGAATGCCATCAGTGTTAGGGCTGTTTCCTGCAGCTGATACCTTAACACCCTCCACCCTCACATTCTCACATCCATCAATAACTATGTGGAACATTTGGCTGTTCAGAGAGGTCACTCCATTGATCACAATGTTGTTTGAATTGGTAAATCCCAAGTTCTGTGATTGTATATACACAAAAGACAGTTTGCATTAAAAACTCATAAATCAACTTTGAAAGAATGAAAACACATGCAGATATACCGTAGCACCAGTTGGACAAGTCTTGCCAGATCTCTTACATGCCCACAGACCTATTCCTTGGCCATCAAGAACACCACCAATCACTGCAACTCCATCAACATCATCAAAATACAACCAATTTCCACAATTTCCAATGGCATCATAGTTTGAAGGTGCAACCAGTGTGCCATCAATGCGAACTGTGATGCCCTTGTTGTTGCATCGTCCCTTAAACACTACTTTACCTACTAAGAACCTTCCCAGAGGCACATAAATGGTGGTTGGTGTTGTTGAGCTGCATGCTGTACCCCATGCACTCAATAATGCATTTGTGGAGTCAGTTTCACCATCTGGCTTAGCCCCAAAATTGACAACATTCAAAGTTACCCCCTCAGCTATCATGGCTGGTGTAAATGTGAAAAACAATAGTACCAAAGCATGCAAAACTATTTGTGCCATTATATAATGTGCAAATTAAATAGACAAACACTCAGAAGGCTTGAGCAGAAACTAAAAGGGTAGTTGTTTGTGGTGTGCATGTTATGGTTTTGTATGGATATTTATAGTTAGGAAACTGAATTGAAAATAAAAAACTGAGAAAAGAAAACTTTGGATTTATTACGAGGAAACAAACACATAGTTTGTCTAGAAGTAATGAGAATGATGCATGTGTCTGCTCATGATCGAGACATGCAAGAATGGACACTGGTATGGTGTAAGGAAAAGACAAACTTTTGATACGCCAATGGTTGCTTGATACTGCAGAAAACACTTGCGAGTAGGGATGCCAAAAATGGGTTAGACCGTCCCTTTTGGTCTTCCTTGTTAAAAATGAGATTCCTTCTTTCACTTGTTAAAAATGAGATTCCTTCTTTCACTTGTTAAAGATGAGACATTAAAGCCTCCATCTTCATGTGTTCTGGGATTAATGTTATGAAGCTTCCCATTCACTTCTTATGCGTCCATTTTCATTTCATATATTTTATTTGACTGTTATCCAAACATACGAATATAAGTTATACATATCAATAATTGTTTTTAAATATTAAATAATTCTTCAAAGTTTTAAAATAAATTATTTTTTTGTTAAATGAAAAAGATTATTTAAATATGTCATACTATGCTTATAATTAATTGAGTTTATGTAGAAGTGACAAATTTAGTAGAAAATTGGTAGATAAATGTCACATCAATTTTTGTTTGGATAAAATGTTTTATAATGATTAGAAAAATTAAATATATTAAATTAGAAATATATTTATTTAATAACAATTTAAATTTATTAAATTTTAATTTTTTTTAATATTTTAATTACAATCGAATAAAAAATATTAAAAACAAAAATTACCACTTCATAAAACTATTATAACAACCTTTTAAATATCATAAAATACAATTATTGTAGACTTCAATAAATAAAAAATAAAAAAAACTTAGGTTAACATCTAAGGAATATATTAAAAATAATAAAAAAATGTTGAAAAATAAATAATACAATAATATTAATCAATAAATAAATAATCTATCAACATTAACTAAAAACTTTGATTTATAGATGTAAAAATATTCCCATTAACATTGATTAAAAAAAAAATCATACTAACGATAAATGTTCCTACCAATATATAGGTAGAGTAAATCCTGATCAATCAAGAAATAAACTTAACTTCTATTTTAATTAATGTTTATATATATATATATATATATATATATATATATATATATATATATATATAAACTTCAATCAATATTAATGAAAAAATATTTTAAAATTAAAATTTTCGTATTTTTAATTTTTGTATGTGTTTCAACCTCAATCTTTCTCCCACAAAAATATACAAAAATATTCACTTCCAAAGACAACCAAAATTCAAACACCACTTTCTTAGTCAAGATGGATGGGCACCAATATTTTAAGTAATAAAATTTATTTTATACTATAATGATGTATTTTATTGTAATTTTTACTTTCTAAGTTAATTGTAAGAAAAATAATTTGTTCACATATTTTAATATCGTATGCCTTTTATTATATATATATAACAAGTTTTTACATATTTGCATAAAAGGAATTAACTTAATTGTGATTTTAATTCCTAAAATTTGACATAAACTATTTTTTACTTTCTTGAATTTAAAAAAAATCTATCTAATCCTTAAATTTAATAAAATATAATATAGTCCTTAAACACTAAATTTAAAAAATTAAGATCAATTTAATATTTGTGAACTTAAATCATATTTTTATATTTTTAAGAAATTAAAAATAATTTTTTTTTAATTTATAGGATCAAATTTCTAATCACTTTAAATTATATAGAATAAAAACAATTAATCAAATTATTTTATTATTATACTGTTAAACTATGAAGAAAAATATGAATAACATTAAAAAAATAAAACTGATCGAAAAATTCTCATATAAATATTATTTACTTATAAATTATTTTATAATCAAAATAATTAAATTTATATATATAGATAAATTTAATTAAATTAATAATTATAAAAATATATAATCATAAATAATTGTTTAACGATATTTTTATTATTTAGAAATTTAGTTAAAAAAACTATTTTTATTCTTTATATTAATTTATTGAATTGTCATAAAATTAGAATTAGTTTTTTCTTTAATAATTTCTCTCTTCTTATTTTTAATGAAAATAAGAGTTAGAATAATTTTCTTTTGAAACTTAATAGAACTTTTCAAATGTTTGAAATTCTTGGAACCAGAATATGAATTTTTTTTTGTTCATTTTATAGTTTGTTACTCTCACTGCAAAGACTTTTCATATATATATATATATATATATATATATATATATATATATATATATATATATATATATATATATATATATATATATATATATATATATTAAAGTATAATTTTTAAATAATTGTGCATTAATAATGTTTTATTATTTAATGGACATATTTTATTTAATATGATCTCATAATAATTAACTTTAACATTAATTCTATAATTTAACTATATATTAAAAAAATAAAGTTTGGACGATAAAAAAAGTCATAAATAATTATTGATATAAGAGTACAATTGAAGGAGTTATTTATAAGGATTTTATTTGTTGAAAACAATCTCTGCTATAATAATATAATTGGACGAGTTATTTATGAGAATTTATAGAAAAAAAAATGAAGAAAAAAAAATTTGTAAACTGAAATTCATTTGTGTATAAATTCGTTTGAAGAAATTTTCTTATACAATTTAGAAAAAAAAATATTTTTAATTTCTACATGAGTTAATTTTAACTTCAAAGATTTTTTATTTTTTTTATTCTTACTCAATATGATGGATTAAAAAATGCATTAAATTTTGTATTTAAGAGGGTTCGTACGGAGGGTTTTGGTAATTGATTTCTGTCACTGTACCCTTAATATTTTGGAGTTTGTAATGTCTCATATCTGAGAAGGGAAGGTTGTGTACGCTGAGGGTCTACATAATGGCCCTCTAAGCCTTGGTTGGCCTCTATTATGGTCACAATGTTCGTAACCAAGTTATTGTTCTTGCGTGTGACCGAATATATTTGTTGGAGATTTTTTTTTTATTTTAAGTTTTCATGTTCAATAATGTGTATCTTCTACAATTTTATAATTTACATATTTTATAGTTTACATGTTTATTTATATTTTAAAATTTTTAAACTTAATAATTATTAAATATATTTATTTACATATTTATAATTATAACCTTCCTATTTTTATTTTATTTTATTATTATTGATTAATAATATATTATTTAATCTTAAAATCAATAATAAAAAATTATTAATATATATATAAAATATGAAAGTTATTTTACTTTAAAAAATAATATACAAAATCCCATATATATATTATATTTTCAAAAGGAATTAAAATGGTAGTTTATATTTTATATTATTATTATTATTATTATTATTATTTACTGTTATTGTCATTCGTCAAGATTCTATTTGCTATGGTAATCTTATTTTGTTTTCTGTCACCGCTTTGATAATGTTTATTCAACGTCAAATTTCATTCTCATTTTTCTCTTCCATGATTTTTTTTAATGAAATTAAAATTTTAAAGTTTTTTTTTACATATGAATCTAAATACACATTGTATAAAATTAAATATATATATATATATATATATATATATATAATAAAAAACTCATAATTCAATACTTTAATTTTTATTTAAAAAAAATCATAACTCAATACTTCGTATTTTTTTATTAAAATATCAGTAAAAAATCTTTTATATATACTAATATATAAACATATTTAAAATCTTTTAGTAAAAATGAACATATTTACTTTATTATCTATTAAAAATATTAATAAAATTAATTATTTATAGATAATTTTGCATCATAAATATACAAAATTATAATAATTTAAATAAAATATTTTATTAATAAAAAAAAGTCTTACTCTCAAATTTACTTTAAGCCCAAAAACCCTTGAAAAGTTGGGCACGGATTCAAGTTTACAAATTTAGAAATCAGTAAAATCAAGATGTGTTTAGTGGAGTTTCTTAAAAGTAATTTGTGTATTTCACCTCATAAAATAATGTGTTTAGGTGAATTTTTAAAAGTAAATGGATGTAGTTAAACCTTCTCAAATATGATTTTTTTTCATAAATAAAACCGTAATGTATTTCAAATTTTAAATAAACAATATTTTAAATACAATTCTTGATCTTATTAACATTATTTTAACAAATTTGAATTGGAAATAATTATTATAAAATCAATCAACTAATTATACTTAATAATTTAATTTAACGTTGTTTTTTTAACGTAAGTAGATATATTTTTTTCTCAATAATATTAATGATTGTTTTGTTAAAAAAAACATTTTTTTTGTTTTAAATTTTATTTATTTATTTTTTTCTTTTATTGATAAATATACATATTTTTATTAATAATTATTAATTTTTATTATTAGAAAATTATTAAAATAATTTTTTAATTTTTTTCACAATTTTTTAACTTATTCTATTTAATTTAAAATATTTTAGAAGTATCTAACATTTTTCATAATTTATTTTTAATTCTTTTAAAATTAGTATATGAAACTTATTTTAAAAACTTTAAAAAACAAAATAAAGCAAAGCGTACAATTTTATGTTTATGCGTCAGAATACATTCCACATGCAATGACCCAATTGCCCTTTCATTTTTACCCATTTTATCTCTTCCCTGTACACAACACAACAAACGGACACGAAAATCATGAATGTTTGAGATGGGGGAGGTGAGGAACAAGCAAGTGGTTCTGCAAAACTATGTGGTTGGTTTTCCCCAGGAATCCGACATGAACATTGTTGAAGGAAGCATAACATTGAAGCTTCGAGAAGGTTCGAATGATGTGCTCCTAAAAAATCTCTACCTCTCATGCGATCCCTACATGCGACTCCTCATGAGCAGCAACCGTTCTGTCGGAGTTGGCACCTACACGCTTCACTCTGTAACTCCCTCACTCTCTTTCACCTCACTATGTTTACTGTCAACTTATGATTATCAACAAGTTCGATTCATAAATTTGTTTTCTCAATTATATCCCGTATGCTGTAAACTCTTAAAACTAAGCAAATTTTGAACAAATTATCGCAAGTATTTAAGCACTTCATACCAATTGATTTTAGGTTACAATCTTGGTATCTTATCCAAAATTATTTTCTTGCCGTAAAATTATCCTTTTATTACGAGTTAAATGTACGTTTTGTTATTGTTTTGAGCTAAAATTTTTCCAAAAAAAAAACCCTTTGTTGGGCTTCGTTGGAATGACATTGTGAAAGTCCAATATTTTAGAATTTTGCTTAAGTCTTTAAATTATTATTGTTCTCAAAGATTTAGTTGATAATATTAGCATGTTTTGGGATTAAAATGATAGAAAAGGAAAGGCTAATTTTTGAACAAGGTAAATAAAATTGAAAAAGTTTACAAGTTTGTTTCATAACATCGAGCATTTAAGCTTTTAAATAGTTTAAGAGAAGTGAGACTATGTAAGAATAAGAAGAATATCATGTATAAGTAAATAAATGGGATTTATGTAAGTAAGACTACGTAAGTATAAGAAGAATATCAACTAGAACAAACAAACGTATGACAGGTGAATTGATTAGTAATTGCAGCCGTTGACAGGATATGGTGTGTCTCAAGTGGTGGAATCTGGGCATCCAGATTACTAGAAAGGTGATTTAGTTTGGGGAATTACTAAATGGGAAGAGTATAGCTTAATTCCCTCATCTCAAATACGTTTCAAAATTCATCACATTGATGTTCCTCTTTCCTTCTATACTGGAATTCTTGGTATGTATTCAACAGTTTCAATTTATTTTCATTATTAGCGAATAATGCCCTTGATTTCAGTATGATCTGCATGCATAGCATGGAGTTTTTATGTGATAAGTGCTCCTTTCTTTGTCTAATATCATGAAGATAATGGCTTAACCTGATTACCTGATCATCATAGAAGAGACTCAGGAAGGGTTTTTGTGGAGCTTATTTGGATTTGTTGTATCATGTATGTTCTTAAGCAGGTGTTTGAATGTAGCTTTTGACCTTTCCATATAAGCTAAGTGTTCAGAAGGCTTATTTGAATAAGCTATACAATGATCTTTATTGTGATATACTCTGTGAATAAGTACTTTGTTTAAATGAGTTCTTAATTAATCAGTTTGCATAAAAGCATTCAAAATTTGGAGGTCGTTATCCAGCAACTTGTTCCTAGAATGCTTTTGCTTACATTTTGTTCAGTGAAGGTTATGTGTTGAAGTTAATCATTTATTCATTACTTCTGTGATCTGTTACAGCCACATATCTCGTGGTAAACACCTTTCCTTTCATAATTTTTACCTAAGAAATAGTACACTTCTTAATAATGGTCGTGTCATGTAGCCATGTCAGATAGTTACTCGTGTTGAATTCTCAAAGCACATTCTGTTTCACCTGAATGAATCTTTGCAAGTTTGCTTGCAACATTATGATGTTGTGAGGTTTTATATAACTCTGTTGTTCCTTTTGACCCGTGATATATCCTTCTCTGAGCACAGGTATGCCAGGAATGACTGCTTATGCAGGTTTCTTTGAAGTAGGTTCTCCCAAAGAAGGAGACAAAGTTTTTGTCTCAGCTGCCTCTGGTGCTGTTGGTCAACTTGTTGGCCAATTTGCTAAATTAACCGGTTGTTATGTTGTTGGAAGTGCTGGAAGTAAAGACAAGGTATTTGTTTATTGTTGTTATATGTGTTTGGATAGCATGAATAATAAGCTTCAAAGTTAGAATATTCATGCTAATGTTTAAAATAGAACTCTATTGAAACAGCCTAGTTAAACAACCAAAACCTTTCTATAAGGTGGCTTGAATTAGCCTAATTATAAAATACATGATTATAATCCTTTAATAGTATAAACTTTTGAGGCAAGTTGCATACTCTCTGATTTTCCAAGATTGTTGATGGAATTAAAATACATGAAGTTTGTTTTAGTCAACTAAGGAGATATTATTTATTCTAGAAGTTTGTTTTAGACATATAAGTGTTTCCATGTTCATGTTTAGTGTCCAACTCCCACACCTTCCATTGCACCAAGAAAAGAAATTTATGGGGAGTGGTGTGGTAGGTAGCAGGGACAGTGCTTCTTTGTGGTTCTTATAAAATTTCGAATAGGAAGATCACAAAATTAGTTCTCCTTTCACTTATATGCTTATGTCTTGCAAGGTGGATCTGTTGAAGAGTAAATTTGGATTTGATGAAGCTTTTAACTATAAAGAAGAGCCAGACCTTAATGCAGCTTTGAAAAGGTCAGTGTTAACAGTTTTCTGATTAATAAACCACCAAATTTGAACTTTCTCCTAATTCCTAAAGAGTAACCCAGAAGAATTGAACACACATCAGTTAAATCTCTAAGTTGACCTATTTTAGTTAAGTTAGGTACTGATTTGAAGGGCTTTTTTAATATTTAATCGACTACTTAGCTTGATTTCTGATACTTCTACAGTAACTTGGTAATTTTTTTTACTTTAAGGACTATGTAGAAGAGAATGTAATAGATTATTGCTATAAAAAAAGTTAAGATACTGTAACAAGTAACATGGATGCTAGTGACAGTGGATATGAATTTACAAATCAGGTACTTTCCAGAAGGCATTGATATTTACTTTGAGAATGTTGGGGGCAAGACACTTGATGCTGTACTCCCAAACATGAGACTCCATGGTCGCATACCTGTATGTGGAATGATCTCACAGTATAATCTGACTCAACCAGATGGTGTAACAAATTTGGCAAATCTCATATTTAAGAGGGTTAAAATGCAAGGTTTCATTGTAAATGATTTCTACCATTTGTATTCCAAATTCTTGGAGTTTGTCCTGCCCAAGATTAGAGAAGGGAAGGTTGTGTATGTGGAAGACATTGCTGAGGGTCTTGAGAATGGCCCTGCAGCATTGGTTGGTCTCTATACTGGTCGCAATGTCGGCAAACAAGTGGTTGTTGTTGCTCGTGAGTAAAATTGTACAAATGCATTGTTATTCTCAAAGCTTTACTCTTCAATTTCAATTTTCTGTTTGATATTGAACCTTATTTTTAGGGGTATGCAATCATTTTCCATAGTGTTTAAATTTTATTTTATTTTACTTTTTTCTCTTTAAATATATCTTTTATTTTCATTAATTATGTATTATATTTTTTTCTGTTATATTTTTATTATTTTTCAAACATATAAATCATAATATTTTTTTAAAACTATAAGACTTTTATTTTTCTAAAACAAAGTTTATAAAAATAATTACATATATATATATATATATATATATATATATATATATATATATATATATATTATTAATGCATGAGTGACAAATATAGTATATGCATACTTGTTACTTTAAAGTTCATATATTCTTAAAATTCTGATATGTTCATTTAGTCGCAGTTGTTAACACGGTTAACCAGTTCAGTCTTAACTGATAAGTTAAATGAAAACAAATCGATGTTTTGATATAGTCATATTTTTAAAGAGATAATAATTTTTATTTAATTTTTCTTTATATTAAATCAACGGATTAATTGATTAATAATTTGATCTGATTAAAAATTAAAAATAAAAATATTGATGTGTCTACATAAAAATAATTAATTAAAAATATATTTTAAAATTTTAAATTATATTAATAAAATTAATTTTTTATTTTAAATATAATAATTTAATGTATAGATTATAATTATAAGAAAAAATTCATTTGGTCTTAAAATAAAAATTAAAAAATTATTTTTTATTGTCATTATTTAATTTTTATAGTAATTTATTGATTTTAAATAATAAATAGATGGTAAAGACTTCTTATGTTTATAATTTATTATATGTTAATAAAATAATATTTAAGATTTATTTTCATACATAAGATATTGTTTATTCTAGAACTTTAACCTATTATAATTTTATAGTTAAAAGATGTATTGATGGGTTGAAAAGAAAAAATATATAAATTACCCTTAATTTTAACTCATAAAATGATGTGAGACTCAACTTTAGTTTATCACAACTTTATCATTAGAAGATATATTGACGAGTTGAAAGGAAAAAATATATAAATTGTCCTTTAATTTTAACTCATAAAATGATGTGAGACTCATAAGTGTACCAACACACTTTTATTTTTATTTAAAAAATTATTATTATTATTATATAAAAAGGATCAACCCATAAACCTATCGACTAACTTGATAAGTTTATGTAAATCATGACTTAAATAGGTTAAATCCAAATAAACTTGATTATTTTAGATAACAATTTTTTTAACTAAATTGATCTATATTCTAAATTTAATTTAATTTAAGACTATTTTGTTTGACAAATGACATCTAGAGGGGTGAATAAATGCACAAATTTAAAATAAATGTCAAATTAACAATTATTTGTGAGTCAATAATTTGTTTGAACGCAGATAAAGCAGAAACAATAATATAATCAAGAAAAGAGAAAGAGATAAGGGAAAGAGAAGAACACACAGAGATTTATACTGGTTCGGGTATAACCAACCCTATATCCAGTTTCCAGTCAACTCTTAACACAAGAGTGACTTCCCATTCACTATCTTTGAAATTCAGTTTACAATTTACAATCAACTCAACAGAAGAACTAGTAAAAAGTAAACTAATTAAAAAGACAATCACCTCCTTAGAAACCCACTAAGGATGAATACCTCCCTAGAATCCCACTAGGGATGAACACCTCCTCTGAATAAATCAAAGGATGAAAACACCTCCTTAGAATCCCACTAAGGATGAACACCTCCTTAAAATCACACTAGGGAAAAAACACCTCCTTTTCACCAATACAAAAAGGATGAAGTTAATAAAAATAAGAACAGACACACTTGGGTAATGGAGACAACAAATTGTAGAAACACGTAAAATGCAAATCTCCAAGAACAAGTGTGATTAACAATGAAAGCACGAAGGCGGTAGAGAAGAGGATTTTCTCAAAAGATGTAAAATATCTATGTTGCCTTACTCGGAATTCTTTTCTCAGAACTGATTAAATGTAAATTGTCTTTTCGAATTCTGTAATTGTGTGTTTTTTATTTTTCATCAAAATTTAATTAAATAAAAAAATAGCATCAGAAAATGGCCATTGAACATTAATATTTTCGTAAATAAAAATCATGATATATTCAAAAACATTTATTCTTTAAAATGGATATATTTTTCAAATTTGAATTGTCATAATTGATTATGTTACCAGTATAATCAATTATGACAGCAAAATCATTTTTCCATTTCGATGCATCATAATTGATTATAACAGTGAAAAATATCACGTTATGAATTTTATCACACTTGTGCTTTGGAGGCTTATGCATAATATTACTTAATCAATTTGTACCTCCATATCCAGTATTCTAAGACTCTATCTAGTCTTTAGGAATCATCTTGGGCTTGCTTGAATCATCATCTTTATCAAAAACATATCTTTGGCATATAGGGAAATGTTTCACATTTTCACCAACGTCGTAAATTCAGCTTGTCCTTAATTCATCTTGAATAATATTGACTTGAATATAATTGACTTGAATCATCATCAAAATCATCTTTTGGGAATGTAAGGACATTTCCATCAATCTCTCCCTGATTGCTTTCATATTCTTATCATTACTAAATCACATAATTATTGTTATTATTATAATTTTATTAATAATTAAAAGTAATTATTACAATAAAATATATATACCATAATAATAATAATAATAATAAATTACACAACGTTAATTAAATTATAAGAAAATTGTATTTATCGAGAAGTTGTTAATCAAAGTTTATTCGTGTCACCACAAAAGAAATAGTTGCCAACATGAAATATAAAAAACGTAAAATAAAAAAAAATTTGTGTACGATCAATTATCAAAATTGTGTTATCTTTGTAAACTATATAGATTATTATTACTAATTTAAGATCAAATCATAAAAAAATGGATATTTTATCGAGATACTAATTTTGTAATTTTATTTTAAGAAAATGAAATTATTAGTTAAAAATTATGTAGAGTAAAATTTAAGGTGTTTATGTAAATTTTATTGATTTTCGAGAATTAGAAATTTATTTTAAAAAAATCATTCATTCTAAAAATAGAAACTTACTCTTTATTCTAATCACTATTTTTTTAATAATATAATAGTTTTTTTTAATTGTTTTATTTTTTGTTTTTCATAGATTTTTAAGTTATTATTTAAAAATAACTAAACTGTTACATACTATTAGTGGATTATAATTTAATTCTTGTATATATCTTTCGATGATAAATTATAAAATTTAATCAAAATAGGTGAGTGAAAATGCCGGTGCCGTATTTTGATTTTGTTCCATTTGTGTGGCCGAGAGTTTCTGCCACAGTATAGATAATTTGGTTTTCCATTATTTCCTATGGATACAATTGGAATGATAAATTCTTACTTTTCTAATACTTTTATTCATTTTTATTAAATTAACTTCTAAATTCAAAATAAAATAAACTTTTTTTTCTCATATCATTTTTTAAGATAATTATATTTGAAAAGAAAACTCAAATTTTGATAATTCCTAATCAACAATAATTTTTTTTTAAGATTATTACGTAAATAAACTATATTGATAATTAATATATTGTTAGTTAAGGATCTTTGGTAAGAAAGTGATATATGTATTTATCTATCTATCTATCTATCTATCTATCTATCTATATATATATATATATATATATATATATATATATATATATATATATATATATATAATATTACATATATATTCCATTCGTACATCTTCTATATGCCTATTATAAATATTAATTAGCATAGGATGAAATAAATTTTGATTTTTATATTTTAAAATTTAATAAATTAATCTTTAAAATAAAAACTATATAAATGACTTATTTTATTAGTTTTATAATAATAATAATAATAAAATATCAATAAACATTAAATTTAAATATTAAAATGATTAAAATTACATTTAATTTTGTAATTAATGTGAAAATTATAATTAAGCGCTAAATTTAAATATAAAAATAATTAAATTCGTACATTTAAAAAATTTAAATAATCAATTTAAAAACATGAAGATAAAAGACAAATTTAATAAAAAATACATTAAAAAAATAATTTTCCTTATAAAAATCTATCTAAAAAATCTTAATACTTTAAATTTATACATCATGACAAAAAAAAAAAATAATAGAAAAAAATAGCCATTTTGATTTTCCTATTTTCTCCCTCTCCATTTCTTCTATAAATAATGGAAGTAACACCCAACAGCACCACACAATACCAAGCAAAAACATGGCACAAGTGAAGAACAAGCAAGTGGTACTGAGAGACTATGTTTCTGGTTTTCCCAAGGAATCCGACATGAACGTTGTTGAAGGAACCATAACATTGAAGCTTCCAGAAGGTTCCAATGATGTGCTTCTCAAAAATCTCTACCTCTCTTGTGACCCTTACATGAAACTTCTGATGACCAACTTCCAAAGCATACAAGACTTCCCTTCCTACACACCTGGTTCTGTGAGTTACCAAACTTCAACAATTATTTACATAAATAATTTGATTCAGTTTTGTTCTATTAATTTATGTATTTTTATTCATACTTTTAATTGGGATTGGGGTTTTATTTTAGTTTATGTTAAAAAAAAGTGTCTTTTCTTTTAGTTATTATTGTTACCTAAAATCATTAGGTGTAATTATAATATTAGTTGGGTTAAAAATTGATATTTTTATGATAGTTTTGTCAGTGAATTAAAGAAATTATATATATAAACTATAATTAATTTCAATTTCTAAGTAATATACTTTTTTATTCATATATAATATAAGTGAAAAAAGACATCATATCGTTTTAAAACTTTGGACAAAATTCTAAAAATAATCATAAAAAAATACATTTAAGTTTTAAAGTTTTAAAAACATAATTAACATTTAATTTTGTTAAAGACAATCATAATTTTAATAAGAGCAAGACATTCCATAATTCCATTGTTTTAAAAAACTACAACAATATATGTCATTATGAGAAATATTTGAAAAAAAAAGTGGAAGTTTCACATTTAACTTCAGTTATGAATACCACAATAAATAATATGTCAATAATAAATTTTTTTATTTTAGAATTTAAGACATTTTTAATAAAAATAATTCAGATGAGCGGTTTCTCACCTTAAAAAAATATAAAATATAAAATATAAATTTATAATTTATATTATTCTTAAATAATTCATTATTAATTTTATTTTATTAATTTTTTAATAAATTTTAAAGGATTTTATTTTCTTAATTTATTTTTTATTTTTAATAAAAAATTATTTTGAACAATTAATATTTTACTTAAATACTTTCATAAATAACTCGCAGATGTTGTTTTATTTTATTTCTTTTAATTTTGATGAATCTTTGATTTGATTTCTATTATTTGATGTAAATGCTAAATTGGTATTTCCATTAAATATTAATTACAATTAAATAAACAATAACATAATTTAATATTACTCAAATTCATAAATAAATTGAAGAACCCAAATTTAAAAACAAAAATTCAAAATTTACCGTATTTTGCAAATTAATTGTATTTATGATTTTTTTTAATTCTTTAAATAATTTTAGTCACTAATTTTAAAAAATTATCTTTAAAAAATAAATTTGATAAAAAAAAAACAAATAACTCTAATTTAAAAACTTTTTAAATCAAAAGAATATAATTATAACTACGAAAACAAACCACTTGCGAAAATGTATATAATATTAATAAAAATAGAAAATATTTTTAATTTTTAAAAATTTAAAAATGAAATCTATTTTAAAAATTGTTTTAATAAACATTTGTTAAACTAGTATTTTAGATTTTAAAACCTAAAAATTGAAAATTAATAAGTCTTGAATCTTTACTTCCATGTAAATACCCAAATTTGGTCCTACTTTTTTTTTTTTTTTTTCTACTTCTCTGTGAAATCCTGAATTTTTTATAATTATACTTATAAAACACCCAATTTGTAGTTTTCTCCGTTCCATTAGTTACCATTATTACTTATAAACAATGAGAAGAACTTTACATCATCTAATGTCATAGTTATTACTTTCAATTATGATATATCTTTCAAAACTATAGTACTTTATACTCTTGGGAATGGAAAAAGATTAATAGAGAACTTATTTTTTATTTGATATCTAAATTTCTTAAACCACTCAAATTTATGCAAATGCAGCCATTAACAGGATATGGAGTGTCTAAAGTTGTTGAATCTGGAGACCCAGATTACAAAGAAGGTGACTTGGTGTGGGGAATGACTAAATGGGAAGAATTCAGCTTCATCCCTTCATCTCTGATACTCTTCAAAATTGACCACACTGATGTTCCACTTTCATATTACACTGGTATTCTTGGTATGTATTCAATAATTTACATTCAGTCTTATTCACTCTTGTGATATTCAAACCCTAGTCTGTGTTGTTTATGTGGTATTACTTCTTTGAACACAGGTATGCCAGGAATGACAGCTTATGCAGGTTTCTTTGAAGTAGGTTCTCCCAAAGAAGGAGAGAAAGTTTTTGTTTCAGCTGCCTCTGGTGCTGTTGGTCAACTTGTTGGTCAATTTGCTAAATTGATTGGTTGTTATGTGGTTGGAAGTGCTGGAAGTAAACACAAGGTATTCATCTGGTTATTGTAATTATATATGTATGTCTACATCTCCGATAAATTATGTTATTTATGTCAAATTTTAGTAGTTGTACTCAAATAATGTTTTCTACAGTTCATAAAATTGTATCATTGTGGTCCTTCTGAAGTTTGTTTGAAAATGTATCCAATCCATACCCAAAAATATACCTTGAACTCTCCAGAGAGGATTGTGTTATGCAGCTGCAGTAGTAGTCTAATCAACAAGACTTTGGATCCTTTTAGTTTAAATTTGCTCACCAACAAAACTATCTAGTTCTTCTTGATTTGAATGTGTTTTTCCAACCAGGTGGAACTTTTGAAGAATAAATTAGGATTTGATGAAGCCTTTAACTACAAAGAAGAGTCAGACCTAAATGCAACTTTGAAAAGGTCAGCATCAACAGTTTTGTGATATGGATTTTTTTTTTATCATGGATCAGAAATTAAAAGGAAGCCAAAACTACCCAAATTTTTGATTAAATTGGTTCATACAACATACAGAATAACTGGTACATGTTGATTTATACATCAGATACTTTCCAGAAGGTATTGATATATACTTTGAGAACGTTGGAGGCAGGACACTTGATGCAGTACTCCTTAATATTAGAGTGCATGGTCGCATACCTGTTTGTGGAATGGTCTCACAGTATAATCTCACACAACCTGAAGGTGTAACAAATTTGGCATATCTTATATTTAAGAGGGTTCATATGGAAGGTTTTCTAGTGACTGAGTTCTATCACTTGTATCGCAAATATTTGGAGTTTGTCATGCCTCATATCAGAGAAGGGAAAGTTGTGTATGTGGAAGACATAGCCGATGGTCTTGAGAATGGACCTGCAGCATTGGTTGGTCTCTACAGTGGTCAGAATGTTGGTAAGCAAGTGGTTGTTGTTGCTCGTGAATGAATGTAGAAGCATTTGTTGCACATTCATGTGTTTTTATCAACTTTCTGTTTTACTTTTTTTTGTTCAATAATATTCTCTTTGTATGGCTTTTGCAATCACCATTTTCAGTCATGGTATTTGTAGTACTGTTACTCTTGGTGGATTTGTAAATTCTGTCCTAAAATTGGTTCAAGGTTTACCTATCAATTCTAGACCCATTTCCCTTGTTAAGATAATATTTGACTATCTTCATGGTTTCTTCCTCTATCTCTTCCAAGGCACTGTATTTTAATTTTTTGAATAACTATTGAATATAGGTTAAAAATAAACAATTAAAACTCTCTAATTTAACCAATAATTATTTTAATATAGGTTGATCAGTTTAGAAATAAAAATAAATAATATATATATATATATATATATATTCATAAATTACACATTATTTAAGATTAATTGAAATGTAAAATATAAATTTATTGTGTTATATTATATTTCAGCAATTTATTATTTAATTTTTAAAATTTAATTATTTTTATTTATTTTTATAAAGTTTTTGATGAAATAAGACCAAAAATTACTAGTATAAGATGTGATGATATAACACCAAAAATTCAGTGTGATAAATTCAATAGAGAAGTGATACTCAAAGTTCAGAGTGTTACCTGTTTTTAGTATTTTGTTTTTCTGAAAATGGTACTAATAATAAAAGTATGAAGCGGAGAAATCGACTCAAAAGCTAATGGGAAAACACGATTTATTAATTCCACATTGCAATTAACGACTCATTAGCCTTTGGTTTTCCCGTTTTCTCCTTAATTCTCATTCATTCCCCTTTATATTAACCTAACCGAATGCAGAAAACCCAACACATTCATCAATTATAAGATGGTGCAAGTGAGGAACAAGCAAGTGGTTCTGAGGAACTATGTGGTGGGTTTTCCCAAGGAATCAGACATGAATATTGTTGAAGGAATCATAACATTGAAGCTTCCAGAAGGTTCTGATGATGTGCTCCTAAAAAATCTGTATCTGTCATGTGACCCTTATATGAGAGTGCTCATGATGACCAAGGACAGTCTTGTGGGGGTTGCCTCCTACACTCTTGGCTCTGTAAGTCTTCTTTTCTCTAGAATTATTTTATAGAAAAGCTCGTATTTTTTAATATTTTAAAATTAAAGTTATGGCTAGTAACTTATGTTATGATCAATATTGCAGCCATTGACAGGATATGGTGTGTCTCAAGTGGTGGAATCTGGACATCCAGATTATAAGAAAGGTGATTTAGTTTGGGGAATTACTAAATGGGAAGAGTATAGCTTGATTCCCTCATCTCAAATACGTTTCAAAATTGATCACATTGATGTCCCACTTTCCTACTACACTGGAATTCTTGGTATGTATTCAACAATTTCCATGTATTTTCATCCTTAGTGAATGATGCACTTGATGTCAGTATGATCTGCATGCATAGTGATAGTATGAGAGTTTTGTTCATTCTTATGAACACTTCAGGAATATCAATATAATTTAGCATGCCTGCATGTTTTTGCATGGTTTTCTATAACTTTGCTGTGAATTTTGACCCATGTTATCTTTATTTTCTGATCACAGGTATGCCAGGAATGACTGCTTATGCAGGTTTCTTTGAAGTAGGTTCTCCCAAAAAAGGAGAGAATGTTTTTGTTTCAGCTGCCTCTGGTGCTGTTGGTCAACTTGTTGGTCAATTTGCCAAGCTGAATGGTTGTTATGTTGTTGGAAGTGCTGGAAGTAAAGACAAGGTATTTGTATATTATCATTGTTACATGTTCCCATATAAATGATTATTAACATTTAGGATATTCGTTGTACTGTTTAACATACATGGTAAATTTTGAATTAGCCTAATTACAACAACAATCAAAGCCTTTTCTTTCAATTATAAATCTTTTGGCAGTGCAATCCTTGCTAGGTAGATCTGTTGAAGAATAAGTTAGGACTTGATGAAGCTTTTAACTATAAGGAGGAGCAAGACCTCAATGCAGCTTTGAAAAGGTTAGTATGTAACATTGTCCTGATAGAAAAATGTTAGTTTACATTGTTTATTTCCATGAAGAAAATGTTACAAGTTCCTCTACTACCTAATAACACAAGCAACAGCAGTGAGTAGTGACAGTGGATATGAATTTACAAATCAGGTACTTTCCAGAAGGCATTGATATTTACTTTGAGAATGTTGGGGGCAAGACACTTGATGCTGTACTCCCAAATATGAGACTCCATGGTCGCATACCTGTATGTGGAATGATCTCACAGTATAATCTGACTCAACCAGATGGTGTAACAAATTTGGCAAATCTCATATTTAAGAGGGTTAAAATGGAAGGTTTCATTGTAAATGACTTCTACCATTTGTATTCCAAATTCTTGGAGTTTGTCCTGCCCAAGATTAGAGAAGGGAAGGTTGTGTATGTGGAAGACATTGCTGAGGGTCTTGAGAATGGCCCTGCAGCATTGGTTGGTCTCTATACTGGTCGGAATGTTGGTAAACAAGTGGTTGTTGTTGCTTATGAGTAAAACTATACAAATAGATACACTGTAGCATCTCAGCTTTACTTCTGAATTTTCAATGTTTAGTTGGTCACTGAACCTGGTTTTTGTGTTGTATTGTATGCTGTCATATTCTATTTTGTTGATAGTAATTAATTACTGCATGAGTGACATTTTGTGAAAAATGAAACCTCTAGTGTATGTGGTTTTGTTATATATTGAACTTGAGACATGTTGATGAGTTATGTAATTATCATAACATTGTTACAATCTATTATAATATTTATATTATAATCCACTTTAGAAAAGTGTTTTAAAAGATATATATAAATTAACTTTAACTTATACTATGCGTATTTAGACATCTTGTAATAGCTTTATTTTTGTATAGCTTAAGTAGTATTTATTAAAAGATGCGATAATCATTTAAAGACTTAAAATTTTTTGTATACATTTATTTTATGTTCATATAAGCTTATGAGGAGATGTTTAACTGACTCTGCCAGATTCAATCATCTCATAATCTTATCATGGACTTGTGTGTTTATCTTTCTGTCTTTATTTTCCGTTCATGCATAAGCTTATGAGGAGATGTCTAACCGACTCTGCCAGATTCAGTCATCTCATAATCTTATTCTGAACATTTTCTTGCTATAACCGACTTTATCTCGGAAAATCATCATTTAAGTTAGCCTGGTTTCAGGTTCTTTGTAAACTAAGTAGTCACGTTGACCTACATAAGAGATAAAGAGTTATAACATGTTTTGGTTTATTTTATTTTTCCATCATGTCCCTCTTTCCCCCCTTTTGTCATGAGGTTTCAGAGCAGTTTTCCCCATACTGGGTTTTTTCTGCTTCCTGTCCCTCCCCTTTTTGGTATCAGAGCGAGAAATCCTCGGATACTTGAATATTTTTGCAATTGAACTGGTTTGTATTCGTTAGGATACCCAACCAGTAGTAGGGCAAGTTAAGGCCAAGAAGTGCCACAAGACCCTAAGTCCCGCGAAGCTACCTTTATGGGTTGAGGAATACTTTGCATATTGCGGCAGTCTTTGCAAAATATTTTCTTTTATATCATTTTTATTTATCTTCTTTTTATCTATTTGTTTTTCTTTTTATCACTTAATATATATATATATATATATATATATATATATATATATATATATATATATATATATATATATATATAAACAACAAAAATTAATAAAAACAATAAAATGATTTTCTTTTAAGCCTTATGATTATCTATATTCTTTTATAAATATTGCTTTACAATATATTCATGGATTCCCCTATTCTCCTCAGTTGATCTGTCGCTTTACTTGCTCTCCGATTCATCGCCTTTTTTTTTACAATTTCTTTTTAATTTTAAAAAATTTAATGAAAGGCACTACACAACCTTTTTTAAGGCAAAGACTATAAAACAGTTCTGATAGCTGTTGAACAAAATATTTTAGATAAAGATTACAAAACAACTTTGATAGTTGTTGAACAAATTATAAAATCCCCTCTAGTGGGATTGAAAAAGTCGATTTCAGATAGGGATGGCAAAACGGCCAGCCCGTTACGTTTTGGCCCGCCAGCCTTTGGCCGCTAAAAACGGGGCGGGCGGCCGACCGATATAGTCATGACGGATCGTAGATCTTGGCCGATCCCGCCAAGGGGCGGGTTGGCAAGCTGTGCGGCTGACCCGCCATAATTTAGAAAAAATAATTTTTTAAAATAAATTTAATAATAAAATTATTATTTGTTTGTTAATAATTCAATATATATTATTTCAATTTAATAATATAAATCAATACATTGTTTTAAAAAATTATAATTTAGAACAATAATAAAATTTACATAATAATAAATAATAACAAATACATGTATATATATCTATCTATCTATATATATATATATATATATATATATATATATATATATATATATATATATATATATAACGTTAAAACTTATAAAATTTATATTTTTTATATTGAAAAATTCAAATATCTATATCTTTTTTATTTGATAAAACTTCACATTATTCTTGGTTGAGTAATTCTTACACTTTTAATTTAAGTCATAAGGATAAAAATAATCGAGTGCTTAGGATGAACAATGAGAACAAGAGAGAAAATTGTGTTTGAGTAAGGAGAATATTTTTTGTGAGGGTCAAACTTTTTTAATTCTCTTTTTAAAATTTTTAACTTTATATATTATCTTTATAATTAACTTTATTATAATAAAAAAATATTTTTTTATTAATTAGGCGGGCCGCAGTCGGCTCGCCCAGTCCCGCGAGTTGGCCGACGGGTTGGCGAGGTTGGCGGGCGGGCCAAAGTGGGTCGAGTAGGCTGAAAACACCAACCCACCCCGCCATATTATGGCGGGATGGGGGGCCGGCCCGTCGGGCCTGCCCCTCTTTTGCCATCCCTAATTTCAGATATAGACACCATACATGCTTTTCTAGAAGAGGTTTCTAGAAAACTAAAAAGCTTGATAAAACTAATTGACAAAATAGAGAATATGAGATACTTTACGTTACTTAGAAAAAATCCTTAGGGTTATTTAGCTAACCCAACTGCAGATAAAGACTACCAACATGCCTTAGATGACTTGTTAGTAGAACACAAAGAACTACAAGATTGATTCTCTAAAACCCTATCAAACCTAGACCTAGAACAAGATAGGTCAGTTGATAATAGACATAGTATTTCTACTATCCCTAACAATGAAAATATTCCTATGATAAATCTCATAGGATGTGAGGAAGATACAATGGATAGTGTATCTTTTGAAGATATTATAAATGAATTTTTAAATGATTTTTATCCAAATGAAGAAGATGATACATTGGATAATTTATCTCAAGTCTCAGAACCCTTATCCATATTAGGGTTAGCAGACACAAATGATGAATAAAAAGATACACTTGATAATGTATCTTTAGGTTTAGAACCCTTGTCTAGGTTAGACAACACAAAAAGTGATACATTAGATAATGTATCCATAGTTTCTGAACCCTTACCAATAGTAGAGTTAGAAAATACAAGTGCTGGAATAAATGATTTCCAACCACACAACTATCAGATGGAACATGATAGTATACAAGATATTTCTATTGATACAAAATCAATAGAATCATCACAAAATGTTGTTTTTAGCAACAACCAAAATCCCACACTAGACAATAGACTTTCTTCAGAGTCAAGTCTACAAAAGCCTAAACTTCTTCTAAACATAGGAGAGACATTAGATTATTTGGGTGATGGTTTAATGAATATAAATGAAAAGAATCCATGTTCTTCTCATAACGTGCAATTTTTTTCAGGACCAGGATCGATTCCTTGTCAATACTGTGAAAGATACTTTCACATCTCTCAAACGACACATTGTCCCCTTTGTTACGAAAATTTATGTTTGAATTGTTTAAAAACAAAATAAAAAATATAAGATATACAAGATATACCTACTTTCTTGAAAAAAGAAGGTATAAAAAAAAGACAAAAATTTAATCGACACTTAGAAACCCGATTAAACATACTCGAAGAAAATATTCTTCATTTAGAAAAACTTGTTAAGGGAAAAGATAC